CTTTACCTAGTAATTAAGGGCATTATCCTTATCTTTGTCCTGTTTTGTCCACGTAAAATTTCATAAATGCAGAATGGACCGACCGGATTATGATCAATATACTATTAAATTGATGCCATGAAAGAGGAAAACTGGAGAAACTGTCAAAATCGAGAAATCGATGCAATTAGTTGAATCTCGTGTAGTTTTCACTTCGAGTTTTTTAAAATCTACTGTAGTTTTTCCAGTTACTTGCTTTTTTTGTTAACTGTTTCTATATTTGTCAACATGTCATGTGCACATAGCTCAAAAGATTTATTTACTGCATTGTACTGTTTTTTTTATTGTTCCATTTGTTACACTAGCAGAAACCGATTTTTAAAGTAAAAACGCTTCAAATATAAAAAATGAATTTGATGTACATTAGGTGGTCTTTATGTCAAGCATTAAAATTAATGTATGATGAATAGGCAAAAAGAATAATACAAATAACATTGGCCAAGATGCGAAATCTACTCAAATTTATTTTGAATTTTTTTAGATCTGCTTGGATTAGATGAATTCAATGGTAATGGCAATGCAAGCAGTTCCTTAACTTCATTTTTCGACGATACTTCGAAAATATCCACTTTGCAGCGTCCCTCATTAGTGAAAACTGTGAAACAGTTCGCTAGTAATCAACAACCCATTTCGCCACTACGCTGTGACAGTTTATCTCCTGAGTACGTTAATTTTATATGTTTCTGCTTTAATGTGTCTTTTTTTGCAATATTTGATCACTTGTGATGTTAGTCGTTTGCGAACTTCTTTCTCATTTAGTTTATATTTTTGACAGTAAAATTTAAAGAAATTGTACTTCGGTTATACGCTCATCACAAAATTATATTTACAAGTAGCTTGAGATTTTTTAGCTACAAGGAATTGTACTCAAATATGCTTTTAACTTTAGATTTTTCACTGCTCTCCATTAATTTGAAATTTTCATTTTAGATCAGTATCAGATAATGCACTTTCAAATGCAGATCAACAACATGTATCTGTTGCTGCACCATCTGTTACATTTTCAGATTACGTTGCTTTATCCCCACCTACAGTACTTGCACAGACAGCATTTTCATCCCCACTGGGTGGCAGTGCTACCCTTTTTTCAGGTCGGGATGATATGTCTGCAGCACATGTCCGTTCGGCTGATGCTGCTATACAATCACCTCGTCACAACACTGTTCTTTTGGCTGCATCTACTCCATTAGTACGTTAGATTGTTGCTCTGAGCTGCTGAAAGCCGAATAGTAAAAAAAAAATTGAAACTTATTCAGGCTTTCCAAATTGTAACTTCTAAAAGAATAAAGACTGATACATTTCGAAACGTGTAAATGCACAAATATAAGTAGATTTATTTAAGATCTGATAATTGTCGGCCGAATAGAACCTTTTATATTTGTTTTCATAAAAAAATGAAAGGGTGTGACGAGCTTAATCTTTATTAAGATTTTTATGTGTGGGATATTTTTACCCTTTATTATCCTATGCACTCCTAAAAGGATGTCATTGTCGGTAATATTAGGACATTATCAGTGTAAATTGTTCTTTACTACACAAGATCTACTACTTTTAACTATAAGCTTTCATCTGCAGATGCCAGTACCTACCTATTCCGTTTCCGTTCCTCCGTCACACGTAAATGTGCTTTCTCCACAAGTTGAACAGGTTTCGAAATCAGCTATGGTAAGTCTCATAAATTTATCAATTATTTCTTCACCGAAGTGTTTAAAATTCGTCATTTTCCTGTTTTGGTGCATTTGACCAAATTTTACTAGTTATAAAAGTATGCTATTTTTGTTATCCTTTGAAATATTGTAAAACGAAATTATGGTTGCAGAAAATTCCATCAACGTGGGCAGATGCATCAAGCAAAGTGAATATTAATTTGGATGATCTGGGTATGAAAAAGAAACCACAGAAGCGTTCTGTACCGATGAACCAAATGACTCCGATAATGTCTATGCCAGCAACAGGTATTCTTCAAAATAGACAATTTATACGAAATAATGGTGATCCTTTTTTATTTAAGCGCTATGCATCAATTCTTTCTAATCTCATCGGAAAAGAAGGCATTTTAGCTTTTGAAGTTGAATTTCAGATCGAAACATACTCGCGAAGTCGATTGTTTTCACCGATGCACCTCAACATCGAGTGTCTTCGGATGATGTGTTCGATTTACTAAGATGAAATTGGACGTAAATATGCCAGTTATGACAGTGGTGAACAAACATTCAGTAGTGTTTAACATATCTATAATAAGTTGCTCGTTGTGGGACAATTGCCTTAAAAAACTGTGTTGTGCTCCAGTAACTATTTTTTTTATTCTGGAAATTTATTACAGCTTTTATAACTTTGACTTCTGCCCATCTATGCTAACATTAGCAACTTTTTTCACTTATTCAGTACTATAAATTCATATATATTCATATTATATTGTTTTACGGTTTAGGCATAAGTTTTCAAATAAGAAACGAAGCTTTCTTTTGCACACTGAATATGTGCAAAAGAAATTTTTTTTTGTTTAACATATCTGTAATAATTACAAATCTTTATTGCCATCAAAAGATAATTTATTAATTCATTTTCAAGAACAGAATTGGATAATGTCAACTTGTTTGAAAGGCTCGTATGAAATTATCACTAAAAATTGCTTAAGTCGTTCTCATACATTCTCTTTTGTCTTGAAAATGAGTTAGGGCAATGCAAAAGTAGCATGCTGATAGAAATATTGGTTAGAAATATGAATACTTGTAATGTCACTTGTCAAAAATTTGTTTTATTGTTTTTATGATATATAATTACATGAAGTACTTGGAGAATCTAATGCGAATTATGGCTTCATATTGATATATCTCTTCGTGATTTCCCACCGGTAAGGTTATTCAATGACCTTCAATGTTGGAATGAAGCGTTGTATACTAGCACATATCTTGTATTTGCAGCAAATTTCGGGTTTAATAATAGGCAAACTACAGACGATTTGGTCAAAAATATGGCGCAAAATTAGTAATGAAGTTTTCCTAAGATTGTAAAAATCGCTGCATATCTTTCATCACTGCACATCTGCTCTGTTCAATCTTCGTATATCAATTTTATTAACTGTTGCATTGAATCAAATTTTGTGGCCTTATTAATTTTATCATCTCTCCTCTTTCTGGTATTTTGATGTAATTTAAATGGTAATATTTCACGTTATGTATACCCATTTCTGGCTGGATAATGAGATATTGTTTCGGTAGTTTTAATTTTAGTGAGATGACATAATTTTTTCTTTATTTGAGATTAGTAAGCGATAGATAAGTGTTATAATTATCATATTGTGACTTATTTGTTTAAAATTTCATATGTTTCTCTAACAGCATAAATTTGAATGATAATGGTTGAGAATGTAAAACTTTTCATATCAATTGATATCATGTACTTTGTATCATGTACTGTCTTTGTTTAAATTATCTGCTTTGTATATGAAATGCTTAGCTTATTTGTTCTGAACCCATAAAAATGCTCATTAAGATGGTTCCGATGCATTTCACATCATATTCTCTGATTTGTTTGGCAGTAACTACAGGACTGTCGCTGTTACATAAAACTTAGTTGTCAATAATTTTAAATGAGTGAGGTTTGAAAATTTGATGTCGGTTGTCATGCATATGAATAGTTGGATATTGCTTTACGCACTTCATGATGGTATTCCGTTTTCGTCTTTATTTTCCGACTGTCAAATCTTGTCAAAACTTAAAAGCGATTATTAGATTCACATTGCTCGAATAAATCATTTTCTTCACCATATAATACAATAACTTATTAGGGCGGTCCTTAAAAGTTTAGTTGTGATTTATTTACATGGGTTCTCAAATTTATTGGAAATTACCCCTAATTTTTGCTCCTTTTATTAAAAGCATACCTTGTATTTAGTATATGCTTTTTACCATAAACTCGTTCGATTGAAGAAAATGAATGAGTAATGAGGACAGTATCATGTTCACGGTGGGTGCATATTTTCAAATTTCAATGATAGTTGAAGAGTAGGTCTATACTTTTATTGTGTCTTATTTTGTGATGAAGAGTAGATGTTGTTGAATTATTATTTAGAAAGAGGAAAATTGTATACCGTAGAAGTATATATTGCAGTCAGTTTCATATGAATCGCAATATCGGAAAATTGCAGAGGATAGAAAGTGAAAAAAACATTTTGTTGAAAATATTCTAACTGGGTTTCCCCATGGATGTGATAGAGCAAGCTATGCATGTGTAAGTTTGCACATCTTCCCGGGCTGAAATTGTTGACAGTGTTCTGGAAATCATTTTGAATAACATCACAGTAATGAAGTACTGCTGATTGGATGCAGAGCACAATTTTTAGCTGCCTTTCATTTTGGCAATCATTAATGATTATTTAATTAGTAGAGGTGAAGTGTCAGCATTTGAGAATGAAAACATCTGCTAAACTTTAATTTGCATGAATAGAGAGGCAAACAATCTATATGTTTTGCACAAATCTTTGAGAATTCCACTATCCTACCTTAGTTTCTAATTGCTAATGAAAGCAAAAATATTCTAAAGACATTTTGTCTGACATCTGACATTTTCTAAAATCCTCAGCTTTAAGTGCTTCAGATGCGGCGAACTTATTCAACTTTTATAATGTTACTTTTCCTAGAATTCTTTGAAAATTCAATGACGTATCGGTCATTATGAATAGCTTATGCAACTTGTATTCAAATCCGTATTTGTTCAGCACTGCTTGCATTATAAATCTATTATATCTTCCACTTTTATAACTCATTCGGATTTACTGGACTGAAGAAAAAGAATTCGGGACTACAGAAATCAAGATTTTTTATATCGATGCTAGCGATTCAGTAAAAATCGAGTCATTTACTCTCTTCTGGAGGTGGTGTGTTTAGTGAGTGATATATATGTGCAAAGCCTAAAATGGTTAATTGAATTATAAAAAGTTCTGCTGAAATAATCTCTTTCAACTGCATTAGTAATGTTTGTTATGGCTCTGCTACATTATTTATTCCCTTATATTTCCTTTTGTTTTTGCTTTTTGTGACTGAAGGATTTTATCCGAATCTTTGTATTTATCAAATTATTAGAATTCATGTTTGTGCAGGGCTTCCTTTTATGAAAAGGTTATTGAAATGGGAAAATTTCATCCCGATTTAATCGAGTTTGCATTTTCATGCTTATAAGGGCAGAGTAAGCTGACTGACGTCAGTGTTATCTGGTCGACAAGCATTCACAGAAACATCTTTCTAGAACGGCACATACATATAAA